AGTGTCTGTACCTACCTAAATGTATATTAAAATAAAAATATTGAAAATTTAATTATTATTATACTGTTGTTATTGTTAATTTACATTATTTGTTGTGTACGCAAGTGATTTCTCTTAAAAAAGTGTGAAAACATCAATATCAAATCAGTTTTTAATATTTTACTGTAAATTAAAAAAATAATATAAGTAAGTGTAATTTTCTAGAATTTGATGGCAATTTCAAATTTCTTATTACATTTTGAAAAAAAAAACCTGATGAAAGTCATTTAGCTAACGCCGATGTAATAAGCATAAACGCTCCTGGTAAGTGTTAATTAAACTAAAACTAAACTTTTACTTGAGGTTATTCTTTATTAAATTATATTAGAACAATGATCGTAGGGTAATTCATTTTTTTTGCCGTATGAATAATAACTGTATTTTTAAAAAAATTCAATAATTTTACTTCAATTTGTTGATCAAACGTTTATTCATATATATATATATATTTTTTTTTTTCAGAAATCCTGCTGTTCGTTGACAATTAATTGTAACAGATTATGGTAAAAGACCATGAGTCATGGAGCATCATGTCTCCCACAGGCGCACCGGCTCTACCACCTCGTAAACTATCACAAACCAATCACCCTCAATCTGTCGAATCAATTGCAACCAGACTGCTAAATCCATTACTAGAACCCAGTTGCATAGAAGAAGCAGAATGGTATTGGGGCGACATAACCAGAGATGATGTACAGGAAAAACTTACTGACACGCCTGATGGTACGTTTTTGGTTCGAAATGCATCAAATAAGGCTGGAGAGTACACATTGACATTAAGGAAAGGAGGAACTAATAAATTAATAAAAATATATCACAAAAATGAAAAATTTGGTTTTTCGGAACCCTACAATTTTTCTTCTGTCATTGATCTTGTGAATCATTATCGTAAAGTTTCTTTGTCACAATATAATGCAACATTAGATGTAAAATTATTGTACCCTGTGTCCAGATTTCAACAAGATGAGGAGTTTGGTACTTGGAAAAGTTTAAATGTAGACGTTGTATGGATGCGTTTGATCGAAGTGCTTAAAGATATTTTGAAGAAATCTATTTCATATGAAGAATTGTCTAAAGAATTTCAGTCTGTAACGGCCGATATATTGGTGATGCGTATGGGACTGCAGCAGTACCAGGAAGTGAATAGAATGTTTGAAGATCAGCTAAGAGTGCATGATAAATTTCTTAAAAAAGCTGAACGCCATGAAGCTGATAATCTAGTTAAAAATATTGAAATAGTAAAAAAACGAATTAAGTTACTGCTAGAAGGTAAAGCGGCACTTGAGGAGAAATTATTCTTGTAAGTATTTTTAAAAATATATTTTATAATATTTGATATTAATTAAAGTTATTTTGTTTTTAGTCAAGTGGCCTATAGTCAGACATTGGAGCGGCAAATGTATCAATTAAAGCAAGATGGTGCAATACTCACACGTCAAAAAGATGTATCAGTTCGGTGGTTATTAACACATGGTGTGGCTTACGAAGCAATTCATCGAGTGTTAAACGGCACTGATTGGAATACTTGTAAGCCTGAAGATATTCAACTGCCTCAGAACCTCTCTCATTTAGATGAGAGTACTTGGCTGCTGCAATCCTGTTCACGCGCAGATGCTGAGCGTCTGTTAAATGGCAAGCGCAATGGAACATTTTTGATACGACCCAGTCGTACAGGGCAATCAGCATTATTATAGTTTTGCAATGGAGTTGTAAATCATTGTATAGTGTACAGACTCCAAAGGGATTTGGATTGCTGAACCTTACAATATATTCTTCTCTAAAAGATCTAGGCATGCATTATTCTCAAACTTCCTTAGAAGAACATAATGATTCTTTGACAACTACATTAGCTTACCCCGTGTTAGCTGAAAATGACAAAAAATAAAACTAGTAGTATATTACCATCATCAACAGGCAGAAAATGTTTAATGTTTATGCAATTTGGTGATTCAATTGTTGTGATAATAATTACCTTTTAAATGTTAATTATTTACTAGTATTAACGAGTTATTTAATAAGGAGCAATATTTTTTGTATAAGTGTGCATTTATTAAGACATATTATTGATGAAATTATAGTTTAACTTGTTTATATTTATTATACCAATACCAACTTGTTTTCTTTTGTGTCCAAATTTTTATGTAAAAATTATTTGTGTATAGTATAAAATAAAATTATGTTTAAATAGTATTAATTTATACATTTAACAAATTATTTTTCGTTAAAAAATATGTGTTTTATTTTATTTCCACCAAGTGAGAACATTTATTATCATAGACACATATAATTATTAACAAGAGTGATTTTTAGCTTTGTACTATTAATTTTTAATGTTAAAAAGCATATTTGTGATAAGTATTTACATTGTTTCTACCGTTTAATACTCTTTCAATTTTTTTTTGTTTTATAATATAACATGAAACTAATGCTAAAATGATAACTTGCATAACATAAGAAATAATAATATGTTATTCCCTATACCTATTTACCTTCACAAATAGATTATACTCTAGTCTAATTATTTAATAGGAATAACCTAAAAATGGGAAAATACCAAACTGAAATATACCACACATCAGTAGTTCACGAATTAGCCCAAAAACTATAATTGTCAATAAATACCAACCATAAATTATCTAAATTTACAAAAAAACCCAAACATAAAAGATAAAGTTCAACTTTTCCAAGCTGAACAATTAATAAACCTAACCTAACCTTAATTTAAAGAAAATTCATATGAAAATTTAGTCTCGAGTTTAATTTTGCAACGATGGTATAAATTAAATTCCCTCTATAAACAGTAATATACTGCTGCCTTCTGCAGGCTTAGTAAATATAGACAAAAAATCTCGACAAAAAAATAATTTCCAATAAACTTAATGCAGTAGTCAAAGTTGTTAAAGGAATACCTTTTCACCGGAAAAATTGATCATTAAAAATTATTTGGCATTACCTATTTATTTATTTACTATTACATTTGTAGCCAACTTAATTAAAATGGTATAATAGTAAACAGAAATACACTTTTGCATTTAGTCAATATATGTTTAAAATAATTACTATTATTACTAGCAATTGGAGTCGTATAATGTAAACCAATTATCTGATAATTGACTGGCAAATAATATAAGATTATGGCTACACACCGAACAATTCATGATTATAAATGTCGTATCTCGTGCATCAACATTTTTGTGTGTCTGACTTGGGTATAATATAATCTTGAATATTTGTTTGCACCATTTTGGATGACTTCCACTTTTTGTTGGTGTTTTTACTTTTTTTAATGTAAAAGATAATATTTTATTGCTTCAAGTTAGGTACTTATTATTCCCTACATTAGGAAATAATAAATAATAACCTTTTTTGTTCCCCAATTTTTTTTTATCTTTACTTTTTAACACTAAAGAGGTAATGAATGATGATGATAGAAGTGTATGACGTCTTGACATACTTAACATTATCGGTCAACATGACAGTTATGATGGGTAGCCTAGCAAATTTCAACCTTGAGATAATTACATTTTGATCTTGGTGATAATTGTTTAATGAAAAATTTCTTTTTATTCATCTCGGCTCTTCTCTTGCTATAAGGCTTTGTTAATATTTGTTCAACTATTTTTTTTTTCTATGGCCCTCAAATGTTCATAATTTAACCATTAACTTTAACATGACAACTAATCATTTTTAACTTATTTTATTCTAGAGAAGACAATTTTGACCGTCGAAAGCCACACAAGTATCGTGACAACAATAAATCCCCTGAACGACAACACCGAAGACATAATTCAAATTCCGACGACGATGATCGCAGAAAAAGACCAAGGCACGACCGCAGGGACAACTCAAGACATCAAGGCAAGTCAGATGCTGATCACGTATGGGGCACTAAAGACTCGTCTAGTGAAAAAAAACCGGTAACAAAAAAAGAAGAACCAAATTTTGAAACTACTGGCAAGTTAGCCGAGGATACAAATACTTTTAATGGTGTAGTTATAAAGTATAGTGAGCCAGCTGAGGCGAGAAAACCGAAACGACGCTGGCGATTATACCCATTCAAAGGAGAGAAACAATTACCTGTATTACACATACACAGACAAAGTGGGTATTTACTCGGACGTGATCGTAAAGTAGCAGACATACCAATAGATCATCCGTCGTGCTCAAAACAGCACGCAGCTCTTCAATACAGGTTAGTTTCTGCCAAAAAAGATGGGCGCCATGTCAGATGTATTCGGCCATATATTATTGATTTAGAGTCAGCTAATGGCACTTATGTTAATAATCAGCGTATAGATTCTAAAAAATATGTGGAATTGATGGAGAAAGACGTCGTTAAGTTTGGGTTCAGTTCTAGGGAATATGTGCTTTTACACGAACATAGCACGGATTCTGGAGATGATGATAGTCTTGCTGAAGACAATCCAAACGAGGAATCCAATGCAGATTAAATGCAAAACTTGTTTTAAGGAATTAAGAAGTTTTCTTATTTTTTGGACTGTAAATAAAATCATTTTGATACAAAAAATCAAACAAAGATCAACATTTAATTTCTTGTGTTTTAAATAATTACCTTTGCACAATGAAATATAATTTTTTTGTGTATATAATACAATGAATATTTTTGTAAACAATTTCATGACCTGATAATAAAATAAGTTTTATTACATATTGAAGTATAATGATGTATTAAATTTAATAATCTCGTGTAATAACTTACAATTTTTTATACCTTATGCAATAACCTAAGAATTTAAATATCAGTAGAAAAGTTTTAATAATATGGATTCATGGTTTAGAGGTTTCAACTTACAATTTAAAGTGTTCCTTAATAATAAAATAATATTCAATCTCAAAGTTTATAAAAAAAAAAGTACGATTTATGTCTCAATGGTTATTACATAAAAAAGTTTTTGGTTAATAAAATAATACTTAACCTCAGTATATTTTATAATAATAAATTAATAATCTTCAATAATAAACTTATTGGCTGTGCTATAGAGAATTTCTTTGATGGTTTCCTGGCAGTCGCAGTACTCTCCCCAGGGTCTTCTTATATTATAGTGAAGAAGTTTCAAATGAGAGTATAAGAACTGAATGTATTGGAGACCATCACATTCATTCGATTTAATTTTGTCAATTATTTGATATAACCTAATTGATGATTTTTGTAACAAGTCCAAACTGACGTCAGTTAATATTTTACAGCTGTAATAAAATAATATAATAAGTCATAATATAATAAAGATAATTAACTGTTCTTACTCTGATGGTGGCTGATCAGCTAATACATCATACAATGGCCAATTATCCTCACAAGACGAACACTCACAAGAAAAACAATATTGGTTTTTAAGTATTTGAAGTCTAGATTCTTTTGGATGTGTAGCATACAATAATCCATAGTTATCGAAAAGCTAAAAACAAAAATATCAATCACTTAGATAACTGTCACCTAAAAATTAATTGTATCAAACCTAAGTAGTAGTAGTATGACATTGACTAAGTAGAAAATAAATTAAGTAAAAAAAATAATTTACAATGAGGTATTGAAATCGTTTTTATAGATTTAATTTTAATTAAAACCATATAAATTATTTTGTAAGCAATTTTTATATAATTTAATATTAGTTATAAAATTATTACCTGTGAGTCTTTGAAAATAGGTTGAATAGCTGTGAGGACTATAGTTCCATTGTAGTTGTGTCTTACTACATTTGGATCACAATGATGGTTCAACAAGCTCAGCACTGGCATTAACAAAGAAGCAACTGGTATAAATCTGTCATCAAGGTGGGTCTCACAATCCGAGGGTTGTGTTATACCATGAGCATTAGAGGAAACTGCACATATTATATGAACTAATGATTCACCAACAGTACCCAATTGATGATTAGGTATTTGTAGGCCCGCTAATATCATAATTGAAACCATAACTGCAGCATGGCAATGTCTTGAAAATAAATCGCTTACTGATCTTTTAGTTTCATTTCCCTCCAACGTATATACAGAACAAAATTGGTCAGATAAATATTTTCCAATATTATTAAAGCCTCGCATCATTGGATCAGTAGTATCAGCATTCAAAGCACATACAGAAGCAACATACTTGTCTAATCCTAACTCACAAACTGATTTTAAGAATATGTTAAGTGAAAGATGTTCCATGTGATCCATACCAGGCCAATAGTTAAATGTTGAAAACAATAAGCATTCATATTTATGGCCACTCTTGTAAGATTTTATTCTACAAGTTTCATCACAGTAAATTGCCTGTTGAACAATATAAATAATATTATACAATAATTTCATTAGTTATAAGATATTTTATAAATAATAAATAAGGATCAGATTTTGTAGCAATTACATTTTTTGTGAGTTTGAGATTATAAGATAATTTTATATAGGTATGTATTATACAAATGTTTATTACACACATTTTCTATAATTTTGATTGTAATGTTTATTTTGCTATTACCTCTTAATGTTCTTTTTTCGAATTCTTGAATAATTTTCACAAAAATATCATACATTATTACTTTAATTATTATACTGGACAGGTTACATAGCTATAAGTATATAACCAAAAGTATGTGAAATTTTCTGGTTTAGTAGTTAAAATTTTAAGTTTGTAATCGAGGTAATATAATTAATAGATAACTAATAACATAATTATATAAAAAAAAAGCTGACTGCAGTGTTATCGAAAATAACAGTTTTAACTTCTGGAGAGACAAAAATAATTAAATCGTTCCTTTTCTTTTATTTTAAAGATTACCTGAATTAAATCAATGAATTTTTGGCAATTATAAATGTCCCTTTAACGATTTCTTTTACTACAAAATCTGATCCCTAATTATAAATAGAAAAATTATCAATTAATGCGTATTTTTTAGAAATTAATTAAAATGTTTTAAAAATAAAATATAATATTATACATATAGTACCTATTTAAGTTGAATAATGTTATAAATTCTTACCAAAGTACATTTGAGACAAGGTATGCCATTTAAACAACGTTTAAAACAGTTTTGACAGTTAAATCCATAGGATTCACGTCTTAGTACTCCTACATAAGGTTTTTCAATAGCAAGAACGTCTCCTAAAATATAATTAAAGCAAAATATTACAATTCAAATTGGATTATTAACAAATAAACTAAATAAAACTCAGTTATAAATGAAAAAAAAAAATAGAGTTAAGTGAAAACTCTTTGTAATGTCACTTAAAAAGCTTAAGTACTGCTTAGGAATAAAAAAACTATTTATTCAGAATTAGACATTTTATTATACAATGTTAAAAATGTATTTTTCTTTCAATTATTGAATGAGAAATATCGGAAAAAAGTGGTCATTTACGCCGTGTCCTATGTGCATTCGACAAAAAAAGAAAACAACTTATATTTAGCCGCATCCCACTGTAGTAGAACAACATGGTCAGAATACAATCAGCATGTACTCGTCACATTCACATAGGACACGACTTAACAAATGTGAGCAATACCTATACAATTGTTAGAATAATTAGGTAGGTACTACATCATACATTTTGCAAAATAGTCAATACTATTTCAAATAATTAAAGCTATTATGCTGTAGTGGTTCATCAAATAACTGTTGGTTTGCAACTTGAGGTATGGTTTCCCTGCAGTGTCAAACGGTGGAACAGCACAGCCATGTCGGACGCTGACCTATGTCCAAACCATGACAAATTAGATACTAGTTGTATTAGTTTTGAGCAGTAGATACGCATCTTCTTCATCTCCGGCCTATATCGTAGTTCTCCACTTCTCATTGGTCGATTTTGTTCTATGTTATATATGTATGTAAATGATTGACAGCCAATAAGAAGTGGAGAACTACAATAAAGGCGAAGTAAAGAGGATGCGTATCAAAATACTGTGATGATACCTATCTAATTTGTCATGGTAAAAACCGGTAGTGACGCACTAAACATACCTTCAGATTACCTATATATTATTATTAGTCCTAATAACTTTACGTCTCACATGTCACAAGTCTCTGATTGAGATGCTTGATGTACGCATATGCGAAGAGAAATAAAGCATATTTTTCTATATTAGTTATTGATACAAATATTAACTAACAGATAAATGTACGATGGTTTGCCTCACACATAAACGATAAACACATCAAGTACCTCAGTCATAGACTCATATCTTATGTGCTTCAAATTGTTTACATGAGCATAATTCCATCCATAGTATATGCAGGGGTTAAAGTGGGAGGGGGCGCATTAGGACTCAGTCCCCTACCTCTGATGGCGGTTAATAAGTGTCCCCTTTAACAAATTAGGATTTTATACATTAGATACATTATACATAAAATTATAAATGGAACGCTCAAAACTATATGAAGACATTAGTCCCCTCTGGAATTTTTTCCCACTTTAACCAATGAGTATAATATGATGTAAGGCTGGCTATAACCCTATTTACCAGGATTAATATCGGACGAAACAACCAAACATCTACCCATCGATTCTGAATACTTCATTTTGACAAATTTGGACAACGCTGGGATATTTTTATTTGGACCTCCAAATAGTTTGATTACATTGAGTTTATCTTGTTCATTATTTGTTTCTTTTTTATTGGTTTCCTTTAAAAATCTTTCAATTTGCATTTCAATGTCTTTTTTCTTTTCTTTGGAAATAAAGGCTAGAGATAAAGAAGATGAAAATTCCTTAAAAAAAAAAAAAATGTTTAGCGTTAGGTATATTATCTTGTAAAGAAGTGTCTTATATACTTACTTTAAACTTTAATTTGGCTTCTGATATTTTCCCCATATATTTTAGGCATTTCACTTCTCTTTCATATAACTTATAGGACAGTTCGATTGGATAGTTATGTGTTAAAGCACGGTGAATGTCTTGGATACAGGCATCATATTCTTCTAAATGATAGAGAGCAGCTGAACGATTTGCCAAAGCCAATGCATAGTCTTCAGTGTCGATTTTTGCAGTCATAACACTTTTATTGTACTCAAATAAAGCGGAGTGAAACTTTGAGTTTTGAAATTTTATATTTGCATCGGCTCTGATCTTTCGAGCTTTTTTGTTATTTTTATGATTTGTCATTTTACACTCCGTAGGTAGTTTCTTATATTTTTTAAGTAGATTATATGTGTATAGAAATTTTTCTCCAGCAGTAGGTAGCTTTGCAAACGCAATATACACTTCACCCATCATTTCTTTTTTTTGAAAACATTCCACGTAAAATAATCGATCGACTAAATCACTACCTTTGTGAAACGTTTTCATAATTTCGATGTCAGGATACATGATGAATAATGGTTTAAACGTAAACAGTAGGTACACTCGATACGGTAAGCATCAATAATATTCGAAAACGTTTAAACAATAAATGCGGTAAATAAAATATTATGTCGAGAAACCGTAACACTTTAAGCCACGCAGTTCATATTATAATGGTAATGAACTAATGAAATCAAAATAATCAAATATTATGAAACACAAAACGGACCGTTAACGAATAATAAAACAATTAAAATTTGAAAACTTGTTCGATACGTCCAAGTGTTGAAGGTCAACCATTACAAGTCACAAAGCAAACGAATTTCGCAAGTACACGAGCAATTTATTCTGTGAGACGAGTAGTTAGTATAGTTACAAGTTACAACAACTGTGAAGTGTGAACGTGCACTGTCAAGTGTCAACTATCTTAACTCTATGATGATTCTATGATGTGGAGCATAGAAAAAAGATAATTGACCTGTAGAGTGTAGACTGCAGATGGCATTGCCCACTGACATTTCGGTAATCGAGTTAATATGGCGTCCGAACACACGGGGATTGACTGGTGACTACTCGCTAGTTGGGCATCGAGCCATCAGCCATGCACTATGCAGACGCCTCTGCGCATCATCCCCACCCAATCTAATCAGTAAACGTCCAAAAGATATTCTTAGTCCGTGACATGAACTAAGATATATCTTACTATAATATCTTAGTTCATGGTCCGTGAATAAATATAAAATAGGGGGCACCGTAAATGTCCGGAAAATAATAAGGCGGACTGTAAAAATCCGGAAAAAAATTCCCAAGAAAAGAAAATATACGGACCGTAAATTTACGGAATTCAAAAATTTAAAATATTGAACCATAATATCACGGACTGTAATGTCCCGGACTTTAAATTACAGGACCGTAAAATACCGGAAAGCAAAAATACATGCTCCGCAATATCACGGACCGTAAATATCCGGAATTTGCTAATACGACATGAGCGCTATCTAGTAGCATACATAATTATTTGTTATAGAAATACTATTTACCATTTGATTTTACAATGATGTATGTCTTTTTTAGTTTTTAATTTTTGTGTCTTTCATCACTCTTTGGGGGCTTAGCATTGGCGCTATTTCATGTTATGGTGAAAAAATGCTGGTGTTAGACCGACCTACTTAAAAATAGTGCATTAAAGTCACGATATACTGCCTTTAAATATTAAATACCACTAATAACTGATGACTTATTATAAAAATATAAAATATTCAATATTTATAGCTAAGTATTGAAAATTTAAAACAAAGATTCTAATAAATAGTTCAGACTATTACCAAAGATAAATAAATGATATTATAAAAATAAAATAAATAAAAAAATAATTTTTAAAAACATGCTTTTCTTAATACTACTTAATAAATGAACGAAAAAAAAAAAAAAACTTACTTTTAAAACAATTTCTTAATGAAACTTCAAGGTTAACAAGATATTACTAAAAGTGTTTATAAAATGTATTTGTTGAACAATTTTTAAAAATTCTGAATTACAAAAAAAAGAAATGCATGGGGCACTTATGATAACTCCTACGTAAGGGCACTCTACAACTGAATCTTTAGATAAACTTTATTATAAATATTTTAAAGATTATTGATCACACTTCCAATTTTGTAAGAGATATTCCTGACTCATAAGAGCCACGGTTTTAATTGACAGGTCATTATGTATTGTGTAATTCGAAACAAAGGTTGTAGCATTAGTAATTTTCCTAAGAGCAATATTCTGAAATTGTTGAATTTTATTGTTGTTATTGGACACTTTTATGAAAATAGATAACTTATATACTTATGATAAGTCATACGTAAAGTCACTCTACAACTGAATTTTTATATAAACTTTATGATAAATATTTTAAAGATTATTGATCACACTCACAATTTTGTAAGAGATATTCCTGACTCATAAGAGCCCCATGCATTACGTACGTCCATGCATTTCTTTTTTTGTAATTCAGAATTTTTAAAAATTGTTCAACAAATACATTTTATAAACACTTTTAGTAATATCTTGTTAACCTTGAAGTTTCATTAAGAAATTGTTTTAAAAGTAAGTTTTTTTTTTTCGTTCATTTATTAAGTAGTATTAAGAAAAGCATGTTTTTAAAAATTATTTTTTTATTTATTTTATTTTCTATTTTTTAGTGATAACTATAAATTAGAAACAAACAATTTTTTGAGAGCATAATATTTATTATTTTCGGTACATTTGAATATTATAAGCAACTATGTAATATTATATTTTAATGCTCTTTATACATTATTATTTGTTTAGTATTTTATTATCTATACGCTTTGTCAATCTCTATGTAGGATTTTCTTACTGTTTTAACAATGAAACGCGTTAAAAGTTAAAAGTAATTATTATTATAATAGTTTTATAACCCATGGAAACCGTTTATAAACAAAATTTCGTACCTGTATATTATTTATTCTTCTTCCTCGGAGATGACTTTGCACACCCGTCATCGCCGACCTGGAAGTCCGGGTCCCAAAATAACAACGGATTATTGTATTGCCTTCCAATACCTATGTCTATACCAATTTTCAGAATTTTTCATCGTAAATAAGTGCCTCAAATCGAGCGCGCAAGATTTGAAGACAACAGGAATGAAACATTGTGAGTTAAAGAAAAGCATGTAAAAAGCATGTAATAAAAACACAGTTATTTTTTACAGACATTTTAAATTTAAATTTCGATGAAAGTACATATTAAAACTAAGAATAACGATTTTAGTTATTTTGTTGTAACTTAAAAATATTACTCTTGTATATATGAAACTTTTATAGTGTATTATTATATTTAATACACAATATAAGATATTCAAATGTAAATTTTTTGGAAAAAATGAATATAACCTACCGTTGTACCTATATACTAATGCCCAATACTACAATTATTATTAATTACTTTAATCACAATAATATCATAAAAATATACCTACTTAGTAGTATTATAGTCTGATAGACCGTCTTCCCTCTGAACCGTTATTCCTGCACAATGGTTTTATATCATTGCATTCAAATTTAAAATCACCCACTTGTAACCTACTGTACAGCAGAGCGACATCCACTTACCCACTTTTTATATTTTTGTTCTAAAAATTAAAAAATTTTCATAGCTTCAATACCAATCCTACTTATCCTAGTATTCTAAATTCTAATATATAAAATTAATATAGTACTTTAACCAATAGCAAGTAGTAATATATACATATATACCATATAAATTAACAAAATAGTAGGTATTAGATTTTCGTGATCTAAAACGAAATTCGATTTCGAACCACAGCAATTAGCAATTTCTTCAGGTTCAAAGAAAAAGATCTAAACACACAAAAATTTGGATAAGTAGTTCCAGAGTTTAGCAAGTAGGAAGGTATACCTACTAACAAACTCAAAATTATCTTTATGTAACAGCATAATATTACATATTAATTATAGAATATAATATTTAATAAATATCACAGTAGATTTGTTTTTAAACATAATTCAAATACAAATTGAATACTATTTAATACTATAGTTGTATTTGTTACCTATTTATTTGTTTTAATTTGATTTCATAACATTTTCAAATGCACTATGGAAAAATCACCTAGTTACGTACCTACATATTTACTACAAACTATAGGGTTTATAAAAAAAAAAATACACAAATAATAGATTTCCAGAAATATTATTTTTTATACATTGATGTATTATTATTTTATTATTTTATATTTTTTGGTAACTTAAAAGGAGCCGCAAAGAAAGTAGAAACTATAGCATAAGTCATAATTTAAGAATAGATAATATTATATGGGTTCGTAATATCTCTGCTGGAGGTTATAGTACCACTTTTGTTTAGAAAAATCCACCAGAAAAGTAGGAAATATGGATGTCAAAATACAACAGTGGCGCAATCTGTCAAGAAAAAATAAACTAATTAATAAAAAATGAAAAATAAAGTTTATTGTTGCAGATTAAAATAATAATAGTGTATTATAATATATTGGTTGCTATGTTATTTATATCTATACTATTATATAAAATTGGAAGGGTTTTCTTCGATCGCGCTAACCGAGAAAACTACTGAACCGATTTGGCTGATTCTTTTAGATTCTGAGTGAAACGATGAATGCATTGATTTTACAATGATGTGTGTTTTTATATTTTTTTTTAATTTTTTAATTTTTGTGTCTGTGTATACGATAAGTAGTCGAAATAATACTTCGATTTTCGACTTCAGTATCTTGTTCGATTGGAAAGTGAATATCATTGGTGCATTGGGGAGGTCAAAATTTAAAATTCCCAGTACTTTTCAAAAGCGCCAAGAAAAACAAAAGAAAAATTAAGGAAAAACGGGAATTTTTACGCAAAATCGATTTTTCAGAAAATTGAATTTGGTTTTTGGTGTAACTTTAAAACAAATGACCGTAGATTCATGAAATTTTCACTGGTTGTTTATATTTGCATTTTCTATACACGATAACATTTTCAAAATATTTTGATTTATTTTGAACTGTTAAGGGACATTTTCATTTTTCATTTTTTTTAAATTTTTTTCTAGAAATATCAATAAAATTTTATTTGTTGGTTAAAAAAACTTGAAAATTTAATAGAAGGCTACTAGTATATTGTTTCAAAGGCAGATGAAAAATATTAAAAGTCGTTAGTCACAGTTTTTTTTTATAAGCATTTAAAGTTCAAAAATTGACAAAATCACGAAAATTAGCAAATTATTTTGAGTTAAGAATTCGTAAAAGTTTTTCTTTTTAAATCTAAGATTTTAAAATGTAATACAAGATTCCTTATAAGATTATCTACCTTTATCAAAAAAAAATGTCTATAAGAAAGTCAAATTAAATTTTTATGAGCGTTTGAAATTCAAATTTTTACAACATTGGATATTCACTCGATTTCTCATGTAGCGATTTCCATATTTTGTTGTAAATCAAAAACGAATAACTGTAGATACATGAAAATTTCACTGAATGTTCA